GACGTTGCTTCACTGGCCAAGCTGGCACCATCATTGCGCTCTTCCCAGGCGAGGCAGATCAGTCGCCGGCCTCTGGATGGCCGCTCACTGTGGCTGCTGGCCGCTCAGGTTGGCTGCTGGCTACACACGGTAGCCCATGGCAACCCACTGCAGCAGGGGACTGCAGCCTACACCGTCGCGGGTGACTCATGGCAGCCTAGCTCCAGGTCGAGCTGCTGCTCACCATCTTAGCTGCAGAGGGCAGTGTCACTGGCCCTCATATGTGGGATCCGAACCGGGGCCCTCTGGCATCCCAAGCCAGTTCTTAACCAACACGCCACTCGGCTGGCCCATACAGTTTATTCTGAAGACAGGATATCACACCCAGTTGAAGACCTCTAAGGGCCAGACACTGCTGGCCTGCCCTTTAGTTATAAACTCACTAAATCGTCACAGCTCTGCCATGTAAGAGTTATTATTATCCCAATTTTTAAGATGAAGAAATGGACACAGGGAGGTTTAGTTACTTGTCCAAAGTCGAAAAGCCAGTAAGTGGAAATGTGTATGCTTTAACCTCCACACAGGCATTTCCGACAGGGTGTGGTCTCCACCTCTTGGGGATATTTGATACATTTTAACTTGTCACAACTAGTGGGGTACTGTGGCACCTAGTGGTTAGAAGCCAGGATGCTGCTAAACATCACACAATACATAGGGCAGTCGCTTACAACATAGAATTATCTGGTCTCAAATGTCACCGCCAAGGTTGAGAAGACTGCTCCATGCTCTGCTCCCGGGCCAGGGAGTTAAATGAGAATTTAGCACTCAGTGCTTGATGAAAGGCAGATGTTCTATAGCAGTTGTTAGTATTTCTTTTGTTTTAGTGGCTTGGAGTTTTCCTATGTTATTCAGGGACGCGAGTCCCCTTGGCTCCATGCTCTCATAGGTTGGTTGAGAAGGTGAGCTCTGGAGTCAGTCTAAGCATCATATCAGGAATTCAACAATGATTTATTGAGCACCTGCTACGTATGTGCCAGTCCTGTCCCAAGCAGTGCAGACACACATAGGTGTCCCTGCCCCTACAGAGCAGTCTTGGGGGGTAGGGGGAGACAGACATTAGACAATACACAAGCTCATAGATAATAATATGCTGCAATAGGTAACACAAAACAGAGGACTTAGGCACCATGAAAGACAATAAGAAGGGAGAGCCTGTTGGGCTAGCGGAGCAGAGTGGGGTGGGGGGCAGCAAGGCTTCTCTGAGAGAGTGGCATTTAAGTTGAGACCTGGAGGTGGGAGGAAGGAAAAGCACTGCAGGTGGAGGAAATAGCTGTGCAAAGGTCCTGAGGTGGGAACTGAAAGCTGCGCAGCGTGAAAAGACGCCAGTGGGGGTGGAAGAGGAGAGTACAGTGACAGACCTTGAAGAGGTAGGTGGGTAAAGGCCACGGAATATGTTTGGTCTTCATGTCAAATAAAGAGACTTTAAACAGTTCTTCTAATCAGAGCAGTGACACCCCAAGGCCTTCCCTTCAGAAAGTGACCTGCTTGAGGTCCAGGCACAGCCCTGTGTGGAAGGTGATGTATGAAGTCAAAACCCAGAGCCTGCATCATCAGCTGGAAACCATCATACAAAGGTGAGGTCTGTCACAATTATGCAAACTTAAATAATGCACCTTCCCTGCCCCAACCCCCAAGCTGGTTGTGAAACGGGATGACTGGAGCAATTTGCATACATTACAAGATTATTACAAGGGCTCATTCATTATTAGACAAAGAATGACATCACTGACTGGAAACTCCTGTTTAGGTCACACGGCTTGTTGCCTAACAGTATCGGGGACTTTTCCACAGGCCCCTTGTTGCTTTTGGGTGACAGCCTGTAGCACTTTCACTCCGTGAATCCCCATTTTGCCTTCCTCACGTTCTGAGGTGTCTTCATCCAATGTGTTGGCCCCCATTGACTCCTGTCCTGCCAGGGTCTGGGGTGAATGGCCAAGGCTGCCAGTGACACTTGGGGTCATGCATCTGAACTCCTGATCTGCATTTCTGCCCATTCGGATGACATGCATGGGACTCTTCTATAGGGACTTATTGGCAAGAACTAGAGCTTAAGGCTTGAAGGGATCTGACCGTTCCTGCTCAATCAGGACGGTATTTCCCAAGGTGGATGCTGCTCAAGATAATAAAAGGAATTATATGAAGAAAAGTGTCCCATGGACAATAAATTCAGGACACCCTGTTTCAACACAGTTTAGCGGCTTTATTACAGGACTTTTCAGAACATTTAATATTCTAATGTGGATTATACATCTCGAAAATGGAGTGATATGTATTTATCTTTTTTTCAGGAGCATCTTACAGACTAGTATTTGGAAGCACACACCCCAGGAAATGCCATCAATAGTCATTAAGTGGCAGAAGAGAGGGCACCTTGGAGTGTTCAGTGTGGGTCAGACCAGCGGCTGTCTTTCCTTCCAGGCGCTGGGCTCCTGGAAGAGACTGTTTCAAACTCCCAATTCCCAACACTAGAGTCCAGTAGAAGGATGAGAGGAGGGTTTCTGCTGTCCCTGGGCCGGCCAGAACAGCCTTGTCACTCCGACCCCTCCATTATCAGTGACTCCTGGGGCTGGGTGAAAACTGCCCTGGGCTTAGTTGCACACAAAGACATGTTGGCATGGACATTGTGTAACCTGCTCCGAAGAATAAAAAGCTTTTAGCACTTTTTCTTTTTAATTACTAAACAAGTATGTATTTTTGTTAAAAAAACAAACAAACAAAAACCCCAAAGTGTCTAGAGTAAAAAATGGCAATCCTCCTTTGAATTCCTCCCCACCCCTGCTCACAGTGTTCCTTATTAAGGTTTTGCCTGGTTTGGTGGGGGACAAGCCTGCTCTGGAGTCAGAGAGACTGGGTTCAAATCCTGTCTTTGCCACATGCTAGCTCTGTATCCTTGGGCACAAGCCTAAGTTTGCTCATCTGTAAGGAGGCACCGTAGTAAGGGCTTGGGGGCTACTGAGGGAGACGAAACACAGAAAGCACTTGATGAAACCCCTGCACCAAGTTGGATGCAATTAAAGTGAACTCTTAGGATTTCCCCTCCAGGATCCAGGTACTTTTTTTTTTTTTAAGTCCAATTCCATGCAATAAATGTGCTAATTACAGAATGGGGTCAATCTCTTCTGTCTGTTCATGAGATTTTGTTTTTCTAAGTCCTCAAGGGCAGTTTCTATATGCGGAAACTACTTTTCAGAGGTTTAGTTGATTTTTCAAATTAATATTTAAATTACCAACATTAATAATTTAAAAGCAGATTAGTTTACTCTCTCATCCCATAGGTTAGCTTATTTTTGATACTGGGAACTAAAACCTTCCCCAGGACGCTGACATGGTGGTTATTGCCTTAGAAGATGTCATGCTTTTAAGTTTAGCTTATAAAAGTTCTTATTCTTTTTATAAGTCCATCTAGGATTGCCAGATAAAATATAGGATGCCCAATTAAATTTGAATTAATCTAAAATTCAAATTTACCTAGTGCTTTCTGCATTTTTATTTGTTAAATCTGGCAACCCTACATCCAGAAAACTTAAATTATTACTTTTAAGGAGTTATGGACCCATTTACAAAAATTTTAAACTTCTTTTATAAGTTTAATATACTCGTTTCCTTGTAAAGTTCTTTAACTGCATATACTAACAGAAACCACCACCCTTTTTAATACTAAATAATTTGAACTCTAAGAAATTGAACTCTAACAAATTAACAGTATTAACCCAAAATTCTTATAAATGTTCCCGAAATGTATGTAAACTTAGTAAGGTTTCTTCAATTTAAAGTCACGAATCTAAATCGGTTCCCCTCAATTGCACATTTTGTGTTGGAGTTACAAAATTGTCAATTTAACAAGCCAAAATCTCTCATATGTTACAAGTTCATAAAATATCACATATATACAAATCTCTCTTCTTAAAAGACAAAATAAAAATAAATTAGTATGCCTCACTTAATTCTAAAATCTCCCTCTGGTTGGAAGATGCCTGTTTGCTGAGGAAGAAAATCACCATTTCGTTGACTGAAGCTGTTTTCATCAGAGATTCATCCAGGCCTGAGGTCTGGGCTGGAGGCAACAGGGAAATTCATCTATCAGCAGCTCAGGAAACCATCATTTCCTCCTATGTACTATTTGTGGTTATCTCCTTAGGATGCCTGGGCGTACTTGGCCAGAGATTTTGGCCAGGATGCTGACTGGACATGTATTGGCAATATACACACGTTTTCCCTGAGGCTATAGCCACATGCCAGCCACTTCAAGACGGGGTGATCTCTATGCTGGTCTTAGTACTGGCTTCAAGTGATTCTCATTACCTACCCTCTTCACAGAATTCTCTTGCCAAAGTCTGCAAATCTCACCCAGGTTTATAACTCCATCGAATTTTGTATTTCTTTTGCTTTTCAGATCTTCATATTTCCATGCCCAAATCTCTAAAAGTCATTTACTTGGGCAGAAATTCTACAATTCTTGCAAAACCTTTCTTTCTTGGGGCCACGCGACTCTCACAAACATTAAAATAATATCAGGTTGAATCATGGATCCCTCCAGGGGTTTTAACTGACTCTTTGCCCTTAAAGTCCAAGGATGTTTGGCTGATCCATTCTAGCAGACCAGCAAGCACTCTCCCTGGCAACACTCTGCTAACATTTGGTGTTTTAAAAAACTGTCTAAAAAAATTATGTAACCCAAACGAGACTTGACCTTAATTATGCCCATCAGGGTGGTTAGAGAGTCAGAGCCTGGGTGTGTTCAGGGACAGTTGGCTGCCAAATTCCAGTGATGGCAGGAAACAGCAGAAGTTCCCACTGCCCCTGCTTCACTGCCCTCCCAAACAAGCCTCTGTCACCCCAGGTGCCCTCTGGGGTGGACCACTTCCGAGTTCATCAATTTTCAGGAAAAGGCATGTGGCCTTTTGCGACCACAGGAGAGATGACCCGATGTGACAGCTGGCTCCCAGTTGGGACAGGCGTGACTTTGCAGAGGATGGTGCCTCAATTAGGCAGGCCAATTTTCTCACCAGGGTGACAAAAACAGGGACTCCTAAAACATTTCCTTCATTTCCTTGGGGAGTAAAACCCATGATCTTTAGTTCCTCAGAGAAGTGAAAGTAGCAACAAGGAATCCAGTCATTCCTGTTATCTGCAGGCTTTATAAGTCAGCCGAGCCTGAGGAGGTGGCCTAAGGAGGTGGCTCTGAGCCCCGTGCTCCACACACTGCTGTCCTCTCACCGAGCTCTGAATCCAGGAGGATTGCCAGGATGTCTCCTCTGCTGGCCTCCTTGCTGCTTCTCCTGTCCATCAACAGCACCCTGGCCCTGAAGATCTGCTCCTTCAACGTGAGGTCCTTTGGGGAAACCAAGAAGGAAAATAAGGATGCCATGGATGTCATTGTGAAGGTGAGTCCCTTTCCTCATAGGATTGATGGACACCCCTCACACCCTCTCTACTGCTTTCAGGCTTGAAGAGACTCAGGAGGAATTTAATGCTAGTCCCCAGGGTCAAGGTAGCTGCTGGCTTGGAATTTTATAACAATAACAACAGCAATATTTACAATAATAACCACTTCACCTCTCCGGGCCTCTGCGTCATCATCTTAAAATGGGGACAATAATAGTACCAACCTGTAGGACTGTTGTGAGGAACACATGAGCCAGTAGGTGTAAAGCTCCTAATATAGTACGTGCCTCACGAAAGCCCATGTAAGGGCTGACTACTACTGTAATGCTTACTACCATCTATCGAAACTTGTGTCAGGCACTATCAACACAGGATTTCACTTCATCACCCTTAGGAAGGACTCTTATCCCCCATGTAGAGATGATAAACAATGAAAGGTGAAGCGCTATTAATACAGCTGGTGGTGGGTGGGGAGCTGGGATGCCAGGCCAGCTGGTCTTTTAACCACCAATGCAGCACAGATTTTTGCTTGCTTGCTTTCCTCCTTCCTTCTTTCCCTCTTTCCTTTCCTGTTCTTTCTTTCTTTCTTTCTTTCTTTCTTTCTTTCTTTCTTTCTTTCTTTCTTTCTTTCTTTCTTTCTTTCTTCCTTCCTTCCTTCCTTCCTTCCTTCCTTCCTTCCTTCCTTTCTTTCTTTCTTTCTTTCTCCTCTCCTTTGTTCCTTTGTTCCTTCGTTTGTTCGTTCATTCATTCCTTCCTCCTTTGTTTCTCTCTTTCTTCCTCCCGCCTTCCCTCCCTCCCTCCTTTCTTCCCTTCCTCCCTTCTTTCTATCTTTCTTCCTCTCCCCCTCCTCCTGTTCCTCTCCTTCTCCTTGCCTCTCCTCACCCCATCAACATTTTCCCAACTCCCTCTTCTAATCTTTTCTCCACATAGGTGAGACTTTCCTTGGGTAATATAACCAATGACTGGGGACTCTGCTCAAACTCCTCTGGAGTCAGTTGACTCTCTTGACCCTACAGATTAATTTACTTTTTATGCTGGTTGCTGAAACCTTTCTCAGGATTCTGACTGGGTGTTATCACCTTAGAACCCTCTGGAGGCACCATGACCTAGTGGGGATGCAGGAGCCCTCCCCCTGGCAGCAGCAGCAGGGTGAACCAGCTTGGGAAGTCTCTTCTGCTCCCTGGGCCTCCAGGACCTTTCAGTAACACGGGCCTTACGCAACCTATAGTGCAGGTTGACTGAGCAAAGTTGAGCGAGGCCCCCCCAGAGCTCTCAACAAAGCAGGTGGTCACCAACAGGAGCTGCTCTTATTATTAGGCAAAGCAGATTGAAGTGAAGACCGGGATGCTGTGCTCTTCCTTACACAGCCCTTGTAGGCTTGGTTGTCCATGCCATTTGGATAGTACCCAAGGCCTTCCGGCTATCACAGTTTAGCCAGGACAGCCATGCCAAGCCTGTGAGAACCGTGACTCCCAGGCTCAACTGGGATCTCTGACATGCAAAGAAACTATTTTCCCTGCCTCCTCATACAAATTTCCATAGAGCCTGGCTACCTACTGAGTCCCCATCACCTTCCTCACTTATTCCACTCAGGCAATGTCACCATAGTCTTAAGAGGCTGCCATCTTGTTTCTTGGTGATTCTGTTGTGGGGGGCTTATAGTCGGCACCTCCCTTAAGCTGCTATGTCCTACAGGGCTGACTGATGGACAGCGCATCACACCAAACACCAAGCATGTCTGAAGTCTTTGTCAAATCCTCCTGACATTCCCCATTACTGCAAAACCATCCTGTAAACAGACGCCATCCCCAAACACTGCCAGAGCCACCCAGAGCACTTATAGTGAAACTCAAATTCCAGGCACTCAGAATAGTAGTATTTACAGGGCCCCTTGTCTGAGGCCAGGAGTTTTATATTCTGATTAAATACTATGATGTAGTTGGCATTGCCCCCACTTTATAACTGAGAAGACTGAGACTCAGAATGGTGAAGTGGCTTGTCCAGGTTTCCATAGTTAGTAAGGGGAAGAACCAGGATCAAATCCAACCGTAAAACCCAGACACATAAGTGGAGATGCCTTTTCCACTCTTCCACACTGGATTTATCACATCAGAGATGAGCCCAGCATCATCATACTGATGTCACTCTGACCTTCACTGGGAAGCTTGGAGAGTGAGGGAGGCCTGCCTTCCTTATCTTGGGTTTGCTGGCTGGTACCATGTTCTTCAAATGTCAAAGCCTGCCTGGGCAAGGCTCCTTCTGTCTGTGACTTCTTCAGTTTGTGTCCTTCAAGAGTAGAGCTTGTTCATCCAACAAACACTCATTGAAGGTAGGCCATGTGCCAGATGCCCCAAGGCCCTGGAGTGAGATGGTGCATGTGGGAGGCACTGTCTCCCTATTCACAGCGCTCACATAAAGATTGCTGACTGTGTGGCAGGCCCTTTATATGCAGTGTCCAAGTTCAGCCTCACAACCCCTCTGATCAGTATGCCCATTTTAGAGGCAACTGGAGTTCAGAGGTGAAGTAAGTTGTCCAAGGTCATGGAGCAAGTAAGTGTAAGAGTGAGGGTCAGAGCTGAGGCCTGATTGGCCCTGTCTGGGCTCTTCCCCACCATGCTGTGCTGCTCCCTGTTTAGAGGCATGAAAGAGGGTTTCATAGGCCACTCTCTGCTCCAGATTTTTCTATCGTTCTCCATACCACCCTTTCCCCTCTACCCAGGCCCACTCATGACACCCCCTGTTGGGATTCCCTCACCACTGGCTATGCACAGCCCCCATTCACCTCCTCCTCTGTGAACAGAGTCAGGAGATTCTCACTGAGTTTCAGATCTGAGAGGGCCTTTCGGCTACCCTCTTCCTTGGATCCTCCTCCTGAGGAGATGGAGCCAGGAGAGATATGGTTTTCCTGGTCTTCTGAACTGAAATTGGGGCAGAGAAAAATATGTCATGAACAAATTTGAAAACTAAGTATTTAATAACTGTGGGGGAAACACTTAACAATGTCATATTAGGCTAAAAAAAGCCAAGACCAAACTGTATAATACATATTGCCATTATTTGCTCAATAACTGTTCTGTGCCATGAACTAAGCTGAGCATTTTATATCCATTGTGTTATTTAATCCCCATGAGTGGGGAATTGTCCCAGTTCACAGATACAGACTCTGGCAGTTCAGGAAGCTTAAGTGACTTGCTCAAGGTCACACAGTGATGGAGTCAAGTGGTGAGTGACAGAGACAAGACATTAATGCAAGGTTATTGGACTCAATGTCCATACTTGGAACCAATGGACTAGTCATTTTGATGACAATTTTGTAAATATAGAAATCATATGGAAAAGTGTCTGAGTGGTGAGTTTACAGTTCATCAGATGATTTTATAATCTGTCTTTTCTGCATTTTCCAAATTTTCTACAATAAGCAACATTATTTTCATAATTAGAAAGTTATAACAAAATTATTTTTAAAAGGACTGAATAGGAAATGTATTTCCATGTTTCTTACAATGCCATAAAGAAGAATTAAATGCAGGAAGATATTTGTGCTTTATGAACTTGGCTCCACAGGTTCCAGTATGGCCCTTCCTCCTTCCCTCCCTTCTTTCTTTCACTCATGCCAGATGCTGTGCCAGGAGTTGGGCATAAAGTTGTGAATAAAGAAAGGTCTAGCGTGTTTTCTGGCACACAGAAGGCCCTTGGTAAACCTTTTTTGGATAGATGAACCAATGGATGGATAGATGAACCAATGGATGGATAGATGGGTAGAAGGATGGATGGATCGATGAAAGTCAAACAGCTAACGTTTGACTTTAGGTTCCATCCCCAGGAGAATTCTGATAATGGGGCCTTGAGCCATTGCTCACTGCAGTGGAGATTCCAGTCTATAGAAAATATTCCCAGAGGTGCGGAGGAGACTGCCCACAGAAAGTAGAAATCAGTAACTGCTGGAGATGTGGGCTCGTGAGGTGTTTGTTATGTGGGCAAAAGAGTTGTAAACAGGAAATCTGGAAGCCCAATCTTTCTGCTCAGGAAAGGGAGTCTGAACCCATTTGCCAGGCGTGGATGGGTCACACCCAAAAAGGGGCTTGGTCTTTGAGGAGAAGTAGTTACAAGGACATGGTGATTTCCTTGGTTGTTGAGTGTAGTGGTCAAGAGGGGCTCTGTAGTAGATATTCCATTACCCCATAGTCACTCTGTGTAAAATTACTTCACCCCACTGAGCTTCTAAGTCCCCAACTATGCAACGGGAATAATAAGAGGACCTGCATTGCAGGGTTATTATGGAAATTTAATGAGTTAATGATAAGAGCTAACACTATAAAGCCCTCACTAGTGCCAGGCACCATATTAGGCACTTTATATAAGACATTTCATTTAACTTATGTTAAGTTAGAATCACACCCGTCATGTCTTAATAAATATAGGCCATCTTCTCACCCACAATTCCTTTCTCATCAAGCATTTTCTTTTTAAAATAACACTTTAATTTTTAAAATTATAAAGGTATAATTTTTAAATTATAAGCTCACAATTTATTAATTTTATTAAATTAAAAATAGTAATTATGGACAAATTTGAAGATATAAAAACATAAAAAAGAAAAAATAAGCACCCAGTATCCTATCACTCAAAGATAACAGTTGCTGGCATTTGAGTAACTTTGTTGTGGGTATTTTTCTATGCAAAAATAAATACATAAGTCTGCACCTATTTTGCAGTATGGAAGCCACCTTATATCAGTTCTGTATTCTGCTTTTGTGTTAGAAATATTTCACATGTTGTTAATATTGTTTCAAAACATGAATTTTAATGCTATAGAATGCCTTGTGTTTTCAATATATTTCATTTAATGCTTTCTTATTGGGGGTTACTTAGGTCATTTCCAATTTTTTTTGTTGCAATGCGTCTTGCTCTTTGTACAAGTAGTAGTAGTAGTAGTAGTAGTAGTAGTAGTAGTAGTAGTAATTTATTGTGTGTCTCCTATATGGCTGGCACTGCTCTAAGTACCCATTTAATCCTCCAGCAGCCCTGTAAGGAAATGGCTATCAATCGTTCCAATTTATAGATGAGGAAATTAACCTGAAGAGAAGTAGTAGATTCTTCTTTACAAGGAAAGACATTCCTCAAAGTGGGAAAACTAGACCAAAGGGCAAATACATTTGTTAAAGCTTTTGATTCATATTCTAAAGTTCTGTCCAGAAAGGTCTAACAGTCACAAGTGACTAAATCAGCAGGCTGGTTCGGTGAGCAGCACCCCGCTTTCCCTGGGGAAACCTGCGAGGCTGATGTCATAGATTTCAAGCCTATTGATGGAAGGATCCAGACTCGGACATAGTCTTCCTCCTCAGTCATTGCACAGGTGCATCTCTATCCCCCAGCAGCTGCACAAACCAATGCGGGTGGCACTCTCTGCTTCGCCCTTCTGGAGAGGGAACCAGAACATATGCCCTGGAAAGAAGGCCAGGGGCAAAATGCTCCTGCTCCACATCTTTGGTGGCTGTGTGAGGGGACAAAATTAACCTTGGGGATGCTCTGTCCTTGACCAATAAATCTCGTGTCATTGAGCCCACCAGGATCCCATGCACAGAAAAGTCCTTGTGTTCTGCAAGGGGTGTGGGCGTGTTCTGCACCCTGATCTCCAGGCTGTTGCTCACCCTGAAGGAGCCTCTCCTGCATTCTTTATCCGCTGAGCTCCTTCTCACCTTTCAGAGCCTGTTCAAATGCCGTCTCCTCCTTGGAGCCTTCCATGACCCTCTGGGCAGAAGTAATTAATTATTCCTCAACCCTCCCACAGATGTGACTCTTATTTACCACAAATTTCATTTGCCTCTCATTGTAGCTACTTGTTTCCACTTGTCTCTCTCACTAGACTGAGTCTTTGAGGTCAAGGACTGTATTTTAACAGTTTGGCATGGTGGACTCACGCAGACCTGAGTTCAAATCCTGGTTCTACCATGTATATTGACTGTGTGACTTTAAGCTAGTCACTCGGTCACTCTGAGCCTGATTTCCTCCTATGCATAATGGGCTAATAATCATAGGCATCTCATAGGATTGGTGAGGCTCAGAGTAGACTCACAATTAATGTCAGCTCTTATAATTATTATCATTACAAGTATACCTCTTTATTTCCTCAGTATCCAGACTGGTACTTTTCACTTACTAAGGTATTATTATTATTATTATTATTATTATTAATTATTCAAGCAAAGTCAAGACATAGGATATGCCGGGTATGATTGTGGGCTTTGGGTTTGGATTGCCCAGGTTCACATTCTACCTCAGCCACTTTCTAGCTGGTGACTTCAGGTACTTTACTCAGCTTTCTGGGGCCTCAGGCTCCTTGTCTTTAAAATAGACATAGTAATGGCACCTACCTCAGGGAGTCCTTCACTGATTTCAGGGAAGGAGTTAATTAATGTAACAAAGCACCCAATTTGATACTTAAAACATAATAAGTACTCCCTAAAAGCGTTTCATTATTTGTAGTAAGTGGCCTCAAATGCCTGTGAATTCTCTCTACAGGTCATCAAACGCTGCGACATCATCCTGCTGATGGAAATCAAGGACAGCTACAACAGGATCTGTCCCATGCTGATGGAGAAGCTGAATGGGTAAAGATGGGGCCCCTGGATCCTCTGTGGGCTCAAGGTCAAGTGCAAGGGAACTGACCCTAGTATGAGCTCACGTGAACAACACCAGGCTTCCAACTCCGTTAGCCACAGTCCTGAGAACTTCCAACCAGCTAGTTTTAATATGATAAAGCAAAATAGGGGAAATAGATGAGGAGTCAGGACAGAGAGAGAAGTGAAAGAAACAGACAAGAGACTGAGCTGAGAAGTATTGTTATAAAGAAAAGATTGAGTGCAAATAAGAAATTAGGATATGCCCACCGACTGGAAGATTCTGTAGCCATTAAAAATCATGTTTACTACAGAATAGGTTAGAGCTAAATATTCCAGCATGGAAAGATGGCTGCAATATATTGAAAAAAGCGAGTTCAGAATTGTAAGTTGAGAAACTTATTACATCACTTAGATCCATGAATAAGAGTGTGCTTGAGTTTGCGTGGGCAAAGGAGAAAGACTGGAAGGATATGCTCCAAACTGTTAATAGTGGTTACTTCTCAGAGCTGTGGGCCTGTCACTGGAGGACCACTGTGTAGAGGTCAGTGAAGGAATGGGGAACATTTGTTTTTTATTTTACACGCTTCTGTATGATTGGAATATTTTACAAAAAGTCTAAATTGATTTTGTAACTTAAAAATTTTTTTTAAATGCTCTCAAATAGTTTTAAATGCCATCGGGTTATACTCATGATTTATGTTCTTTCTCAAAGAACCTTCTCACCTGACAATCACCCTAGAGGGAGTTAAAAAAGTGTATATTCAAGAGCCTCGGGTCTATTCATTGAGAATATCTGTGAGAGAGGAATCATTATCTTAACAAGCCTCCCCGATGATTCTGATGCATCCTGATTTTTTAAAACTTCTAACGCAGTGCTTCTTTTGTAGATGGTGATAAGATTAAACAACAAACTAGAGTATACAATAATATGTGCCAAGTCGTTCAATTATGTAAACAAAGCAAAACCAAAAGCATAAAATAGTCAAAAGTAGTGAACCAAAATGGTGACAATGGCTAGTGCAGAGTACAAATTTACAAGGAATTTTAATGTGACTTCTTCTATATGTTTTCTGTTATTTTCCAAATTTTCTACAATGAGAATGTTACACCCCCTTTTCTTTTTCTTATGAAATGTTTTAAATATATTTAAAAGCACAGAGAAAATGATAACAGCCATGTAACCACCATCCAGATGGAACAAACAGTACATCTGGTAGTTATTAGAATTTTGTAATTAGGAAAGCACATTGATTTTTTTCAGAAATGAATAGTCAATCCAGCCTCACTGGGCCCAGGAGGGAGAGCCTTGCTGCTCTCCTTCACCCAGAAGGCCCCTTGGGCTGGCCCCACCCCTTGCTGGGCTTCAGTTTCTCATCTGAAAATACACAGTTGGAGCTGAGCTTCTCCTTTTTAGCCTCGGCAAGTCATTTTCTTCTGGATCTGATCTCTGACGACGGAAGAGGGTATTGCAGCACAGGGGTTAGGCGCCTATGCTCAACTCAGACACTTGGGTTTGGATCCTGGCTCTGCCATGACCTCAAGCAAATCATGCAACCTTATTTTCTCTGTCTATAAAATAGGGCTAATAATAGAACCCATCTTCCTGGGATGTGGCAGGAATTAAATCATACATGAAAGAAGTTGAACTGTGCCTGGCATGTAGCAGTGATCCTTAAGTGCTGGTGGTTTCTATTACTAGTAAAATGAAGAGAAATAAAATGGCAGATGAGGGTCCCAGGGGCCACATGTAACAGCTCCTATCAACACCCTAACTTCATGTTAGGCATCCTGTTAATTCATTTACATGAGCTATTTCATTTACTCCCAACAACAACCCTGTGGGGTAGATACTATCACTGTTTCCATTCTAGCTGAGGGACCTGGGGCACAGAAAGGTGGAACCTGCCCAAGGTCACCCAGCTAGTAAATGGCTGAGCCTACCTTTGAACCTGGGTTGTGTGGGACTCCAAAGCCAGTGCTCTATCCTGAGCATCCTCAGCCGTCCTTAGAGAAGCTCTAGTTAATTCAGAAGTATGAGGGGCTGAGGGGAGGGGAGGGGAGGGGAGGGTCTAGGCATCTCCCCATACATAGTCAGTCTGGAGCGAGAGTTTCCACCCCCAGTGGTCTCAGTTCTTCCCAACCTTCCTAGACTCCAGGCAGAGCCAGGCCTCTTTGTCCCCTGTTCCCCATAAGCTTTAAGTCACTTCACAGCAGAGTCATTACAAACAGTTTGCCAACCCAGGACTTGGCAGGCTATATTCACAACAGGACCAGCTTTCCCAAACTAGAAGCCCAGAGAGATCCATTATCCACTCTCCTGGGGCCCCCATGGCTGGATTTGCCTTAGAATGTGCATCTAAAGTCCCAGGAATTTCTGTAGTGACTAAATTGGTTCCTAAAGATCCCTTCTGTCTTCTTCCAACTGAATCTGAGATTATGCCGTAACTTAGACATGCACTAGATCTTTTTGCAGGCAGATGGAGTAAAACTAGCTCAGGCTCTGCCCGTGGTGGGTTATCAGCAGGTTTGGCAAATATACTGTGAGTCAAGTTGCCCTGGAATATGTGAGGGGTAGAGTCAACAGGACTTCAAGGCTGTACCGCCAAGACAAATAATGGCGGATTTGAAATCATAGTTCAGGGCTTGTGAGAAAATGACTGGGGGTTTTCAGACCAAGAGAGGAAGTCCAATATAAATATTATTAGGAACCTGGCATATGATGAATGCTCAGGAGTGGTGCATGGGTAGGGTGACCTGATAAGGTTTGCTCCACCAGGAAGTGTGAGCTACAGACCCAGCCATGGGTCAGAGTAGGGTTTGGGGCTGATTCTGGCCTGAATCTTTTATGGTCTCAGTGGTCTCCCACAGGTACAGGCCAAAGCATGTGGATTTAGGAGTAGGACCTGGGTTCAAATCCCAGCTTGGTACTTACAAATTATAAAAAGGGGGTAACAATAGTTCCTACCTTATAAGGTCAAGAAATAATGGCTGTAAAGATTCTTGACAGATGTCACATTCTCAGTCAATGGTGGCCCTTCTTATTAGACATAAAGGTTATGATAAATGGTGACCCTTCTACATGATGCTATTGGAGATATGGAGGTAAATTGGAGAGAGGGGAACCTATGCAGTAGGGAAGTGTTTTTCTTTGAAGATGCATGTAAAATCTTTGTTTTATAGAAATTCAAGAGGCACAACATACAACTATGTGATTAGCTCTCGGCTTGGAAGAAATACATATAAAGAACAGTATGCCTTTCTCTATAAGTAAGTATAATCTATGCTTCCTGGAACATGGTTCATTTATAAATGATGGCAGTGAATTGAATCAAAATGCATATTTTCTCTTCAAAACCAAATTTTGACCTCTAACCAGTTCTCAATATCCATCAAAATAATTGCTGTCAAAATTGGGGCTGGTGCTAAGTATTAACTCTGCAAACTAGAAAACACAAGCAGCTTCCTAACACCTAATTTGTTGGTTAATTCAGTGGCTGCCTGGTCAGGAGCGTCAGGAGTTCTTTATTCTTTATAGTCAAGTCCTAGTCCGGGGATGGAAACCTGAGTTGCCCCGCACAGCTGACTCCATAACTCCATGTTCTCATCCCCTTCCTACTAATAATTTGTTTTAAGTCTAAACATTAACTTGTGGGTGGCCCAGAAAACTAGTACTGCTCAGACCTTCAGCTCCCAAAGGGCCCTGGCCATTGAGAAAAGTTGACTAAGCCATGTTCTCAGGAGAAAAATTCCTTCCAGCATGTGAGCCTGCTTGGGAGGCTAATGAAACCATGGGAACCTATCTTTCTGCTTCTTGAAAGAAGTAAGAAAGGCAGCTGGCTCAGCTGGGAGGGCTCCCTTTTTTCTCTTCTAGGGAAAAGCTAGTGTCTGTGAAGAAAAGCTACCTCTACAATGACTATCAAGATGGAGACATAGATGTATTTTCCAGGGAGCCCTTTGTGGTCTGGTTCCAGTCACCCCACACCGGTGAGACCCACAGGCCCCCTCGTACCTATGACCTCCCCAGTGATTCCATGAATGGGCAACAGCCCTGAGGGTGAGCTGCAATCCTAGGGCTTATGCAGCATCTTTACGGGGGCATTAGGCTTTAGGACTGAGAAAGCCATTAAGAACTTCTAATACCTGAATGTAGAGAATACAGTATAGTTTGATGGCTTCTCAAGACCTCTCCAGCTTGGAGCCCACCTTCTGGAATCAATGATAACTTCACTGTCTTTGGAGCATTTAGGCTGATAGAAATTATTTACTGCAATTCTTCAGCCTCAATCAAGAACAACTATTCCTTCATTTAAAAATGTCCTAGTGATGGCCAGCAAAGATGAACCCACCAATCTAGAGTCTCACTCTCCCTTCAGTAACTATATAGACATTTCCTCCACAGACAGGGGTAGAGTAGAAATCCAAATGACTGCACCCTGAGCTCTAACAATAGTATTTGTATTAGCCACTAACAATTATTGATCTCTGATTTGTGCCTGTACTCCTTGCAATGACCCTATAACATAGGAACTAGGACCATTTCCACTTTACATTTGAGGCAACTGAGGTTCAAAAAGGTGTAGTCACTTGACCCAGCAGCTATTGAAGTGGATGAGCCAGAGTTGTAACCCAAGCCACCATCTCAGAAGCTCATGCTGTTAACCACTATGGGACATTCAATGGAAAGTCAAGAATAAATTTGGTTTGCCAGTTGGAGCTATATAGAATAAAATATTTTTCAGTACCTACTATGTGCCAGGCTCTGTTCTGGGAACCAGACAAGACAGACAAGGTCCTCACCCTCATGAAGTTATGTCATAGTAGGGGAGACACATAATGACCAAACAAATGCATGCAGAGTTGAAAGCATGGACATCTATATCTACACCACACAAATATGAACATCCTGAACTATTTTCTGCCCTGGGTTCATTGCCTCAGAGGCAGAGTGTTGAGAAACATGGGAGAATGGTGAGAAAATTCCCAGTAGGAAAGGAGAAGAAGGTAGGGGCTACTGAGGGCAAGAAATGCTCTTCAGAGAGCACGTGCAATGATCCTCTTTGTCGTGTACACCACACCTGGCAGACCAGGGCAGAGTTCAGAGAGCTCTCTCCCCTATAATGATTATTTCTTCTCCAAGAAAGTCTTTAGCCCTTGTGAATTGCAAATGAACCTGTTTCTTTTGAGCTTCCATACTTCTACTCTTCTCTACCCCTCTAACTCTCCCCTGGGATGGCACCTCAATCATGTCCTAATTAGAATTTTCTCTCTTGTGCAAGGAAAGCTCCTTCTGTCCGCTCTATCTGGGATTAAAGATGAAGAAGTTAGCTATTCATCTATCATCTATCTATCTATCTATCTATCTATCTATCTATCTATCTATATCTATCTATCTATCTATTCATTCATTCAGTTAACAAACATTTTTGAGCACCTCCAATGTGCCAGGCACTGTGTTAGGTGCTAGAGCCAAGAGGGTGAATGAGACAGATAAGCCTGCCCTTACAATGCTAGGTTCCAATAGGCCAAACAAAGAAGTAAGTCAAGTAATTCCACAGCATGAAGGAAGTAAGCAGTGTGAGTTGACTGGCAGGATGAAGGGCCCACCTTCAATGGGGAGACCAGGGATGGCCCCTCAGAGGTGACATTAGGTTGTGACGTGAAGAAGTCAAATCAGAGAGGCTGGGGGAAGGGCATTTTGGAAGCAGGGCACAGTGAGCACACAAGCTCTTTGGTTGGAAAGGGGTTGGGGTGTTCAGGGGGACCAAAAAGAGGATGGGGAGTGGAAGCATGAGGACGAGAGCAGGATATTGCTGCTGGATCAGTGTGGGGTCCTGGAGACAGCCTGCCCAATCTGAGGGCTGGCTCACCCCATGTGACCACCCAGCGGCACCCAGCTCCTGAGTAGGAGTGGGGACCCAGGCACAGAACGGGGGAAAGCCGGAGGAGGATGTATTCAGAACACTACAACAGCTATTAGCAAACGGGCAAGGTCCGTTCTGAGGCTCACCCACATTCCCTCATTCAGGCTCTCTCAGTACCTCCTGGTGGGCGAAGTGTTTTAGACACTCCATAAAAAAACTGCTTCATTTTTAAAACAACTTTTGGGGCTTTTTTTTTCTGATTACAAAAGGAGTATAAACAGACATGCTTCAATTTTTTCATTGGAAAAAAAATTCTTTTCTTAATACAAAAGCCAAACAGCCTTCTTTTTTTTATAAATACAGTTTTTCAAAAAATGAACACCCACAATGCCAGCAAGGAACACTGCCTACCAGCTTTTTCTTAGCGGTGAGGGGCGACTGGGGGGAAAGAGGCTTTCATGTGCTGAAAATTGCAGCCTCATGATCCTAAGATCATTCAAATCTCAGCCACTGGCTGGACTCTCTGGAATGGGGGAGACCCACACAACATAGTCCATGCCTTCTGGGAGGACAGCCTGTTTCCCTCAAGCAGTGTCCCTGGAACCTTGCCAGGGAAAGTGTGTGACTTCTGCCTCTTTCCTGTTCCTTAGCTGTCAAGGACTTCGTGATTGTCCCCCTGCACACTACCCCTGAGACATCCGTTAAAGAAATTGATGAGCTGGCTGATGTCTACGTGGATGTGCAACGCCGTTGGAAGGCAGAGGTGACGACCCTTTGTGTCTGCTGAATTCCTATCTAGCAGGGGCAGAATCTGGTCCTTAAGAGGGATAAGTGACGTCCCGGGAGAGCGAGGGGGCAGAGCACGTGCAGACCGCCACCACTTTAGAGCCTCATTTTAGGCCTTTCCTTAGCCTTGAATATCCTTCTTGCTAAATCTGCCTGAGCACCATTCATGCGGGTCTTGGAAATTCACACACTGCTCCACTAATAATGGTTACCAAACTTCACTGAGGGTGCCAGGCACTGTGCTGAAGGCGGACAAGGGCAAGTCTATTTAATCCTCCCAATAATCCCATGAGGTAGCTACTTGTATCATTCTCACTTTGCAGTTGAGAACAGTGACACACAGAGGTCAGGAGTCTTTCAGTTGTAAGCGACAGAATTTCAAACTGGCTCATGAAAAGAAGAAGCAATTTATTGCTAAAATGTTCAGGAGTAGTTCAGGCATAGCTGGATCCAGGGCTCAGACAAAGTAATCAGGGCTTGGATAGTCTCTTTCTTTCCATCTCCTGGCCCTCCTTTCCTCTGGGCAGGCTCCGTTTTCAGGCTGGCTCTACTCTCGGGATGGTAAGATAGCCATCAGCAGCTTCTAGACCAGGGGTCAGCAAACTGCGGCTCGTGAGCCACATGCGGCTCTTTGGGTACATTCCGTCTCAAAAGTTTGCCAACCCCTGGAAGAGCCAATCCTGTCCCTCACAACAATTTAAAAATTATTCGAGAGCCATAAATATATTTTACATAATCACCATTATGTGAACACTATCCTGTAAAAAGTTTATAAATGAAACTATGATAGTTTTATTTTCATTTTCAATTTTACTTCAGAGCCACAGTTCGTGAGTCGCAGTTTGCTGACCCCTGGCGGCTCTTCCATCTCAAAAGTTTGCCAACCACTGTTCTAGACCAACTGACAAATTTTATTTCCCAAATGCAACAAATACCTTGGGATTGAGTATCATTGGCTCTGATTATGTCACATGTCCATCCCTGAACCAGTCACTGTGATCAGGGAGTTGAGATGCTCTGATTAGCTAAATCTCTGTCAGCTGCACCTTAACCTCATAAGCTGAGGTGGAGGAGAGAGGTGGTTTCCCAAACTAGGGGTACTATTCTCACAGAAAGGGAATACATCTACCATTCCTTTGGCCTCAATTGTTTCCTCATCTGGAAAACAGGGATGTCACCACTTGTGGCTGTGAAAGTCTGTGAAAGCGCTTGGCAAGTATGGAAGTGCTCTAGAGGGCTCTTCCACATTCTTCTTTCCTCCTTTCAGGATGTGAGTGCAGTGATTTCCCTTCCTCTTCAATTCCACTGCAGAAAGTGCAAAATGAGTCCAGTAAAACATGGACATGCAGCTGGGGAATGGAGAACACAAGGGGCATATTTCAATGCTTGTTATAAAGAGCAGGACAAGAGACTCATTCATTCATTCTTAAAATTGTGAATTAGTTCATTCATTTGACCAGAATTAATTGAGCATTTGTTAAGTGTTGGCTACTTGGGAGGCATCAGTGGCACAAAAATGAACAACAGGGGAAATTCATGCTGAGGGGCCTTCTGTGCAGCAGAACGAGGTTCAGTTCTTGTCTTCACCACTTGAACCTCCCAGTTGAGTGGTGTAGAGCAGGCCCTCTATCCCATTTCCACAGGGCTTAAAGGTCCTTCTACCTCTTAGTGTTTGTGAGATGTAAATGAAACTTTATAAAACACTTAATGCTGGGCCTGGCCCACAGTGAATGCTCAGTAAATTGTGCCTGTATTACTAGAAGATGGTGGTCACTAAGGTTAAGGATGACATCCTGTCCTCAACTACGCCCATCAGTCTCGGGAAAAAACATGATCACTGAGGTCAAAATCAAATGTTTTTGAAGAAAATACTAAAGTCAGCAACAGCCCCAAACAATAGCACAAACAAGGAAATCTGACACTTCCTCTGGACTGAGGAATATTAAAATTCTGTTTCAAGAGCCCTGCGGGGGGGGGAAAACACTTCCAAGATAGAATGGTCTGTTGGTGACCTAAAGTTCTCCCCACTTTCTCAATAGACAGAATTTCCCCAGATATAAATCCCCAAGTTCAAGACAATAGGCGAGAAAGGGTGGTGAAAGCTGTCAAATACACCACCCAAATACATCACCCAACTTTAAACAAAAGGCGTTGATTCATTCATATGTTTGAGCCACAGACAAAAGATGGGAGGAAATAAATCAGCGGGATTCCCACCTACCTCCAGCTTGTTGAATTGTAGAGACATGGTGACTAAGAACAGGAGGGAGTGGCTATAACGAACATCCTCCTTTGCATTAAGAACACCCTCCCTTGTCAACACTTGCCTGTCAAATACTCAGGAAAACTGACTTAACTCTAAACCATGGACTCTTCTTTTAAAAAGCAAAAAAGAAACTAAGAAAGATCCTGTATTAGTTTACTAGGACTGCCATAACTAAATACCAAAGACTGAGTGGCTTAAACAACACACATTCATTTCCTCACAGCTCTGGAGGCTACATGTCCAAGGTGTCAGCAGGGTGGGTTTCTCCTGAGGCTTCTCTCCTTGGTCTTCCTTCTGTGTCCTAGTCTCTCTGTGTCCTAGTCTCCTCTTTTTATGAGGACACCAGTCATATTGGATTAGGATCCACCCGTATAATCTCATTTTACCTTAATTACCTGTCTAAAGGCCCTCTCTTCAAATACAGTTGCATTCTAAGGTACTGAGGCTTAGGACTTCAACGTATGAATTGAGGGGGACACAATTTATCCCATAACAGAACCCATAATTTACTGGGCATGGCAGATGGAGTCATTGCTACAAGTTCTGAGCAACCATGCCACCAAGTGACTGAGGCTCCAAATCATTTCTTTCAGAATTTCATTTTCATGGGTGACTTCAACGCAGGCTGCAGCTACGTCCCCAACAAGGCCTGGAAGAACATACGCCTAAGGACTGACCCCAAATTCATTTGGCTAATTGGGGACCAAGAGGATACCACAGTCAAGAAGAGCACCAACTGTGCATATGACAGGTAGGGGTACCTGCTGGAGGCTTCTAGCCCATGCAGTGCTTGGTACGCTTTAGAAAAGGTATCCCCTCTGGGCTGATGAGGCACCTGGCTTGGAGAGCTGAGTCGGTTAGATTTCAGGTCTCTCCACCTAGTGCTTTGTGCAGTATGCAAATTGCATGAAGTGGACACTGTAGTTTAGCAGCGGCAAGCGCTGGCTTTGGTAGGCCTGAGTTCAAGTCCTGGCTCTACCACTTAATATGTCTGTGACCAAGAGACAAAGGCTCTCTGTGCCTTTGTTTCCTTGTCTATAAAATGGAGATTATATTCACTCGTTGTTATATGATGAAGATTAAGTAATGTGTAAATCTTATAACACAATGCCTGCCATGTGGTGAGTGCTCGGTATTCATTGCTGTTAATTATTCCATTATAAAGACGTGCTACAGTTTACTCACTCAATCCCCTATCATTGGGCATTAGGTTATTATATTACTAAGGGGTTGTTATTAAAAGCACTGCTAACATGAACAGTCTATATATGCACTTTGTGCATGTATTTATGATTTCCTTAGGGTAAAACTCTAAAAATGAGACCAGTTAGTACAAGGGTAGTTACACTTCTAAAGCTTTTGCTGCATATTCCTAGATGCAAATACATACATTTGAATAACAGCATGCTCTTATATTTAAAGTCTCTCTGGAGATTTTCAATCAGCTTTCACTTTTGCTCCTTAAATGGGAAGGGAAGTGGTAAGGGTGCCTGAAGGCTGTGAAAGTTTGCGCATGACCTGCCTATCTGCAGTAGAGACCACAGGCAGGAAATTCCCTAGGAGCCCTGGTCCCACAAGTAGTTGCCATGCCCAGGGCTCATCCTGCTACCAAGAAAGCATGAGATGGCCATCTGTGAGACAATTGTTCTTACTTCTCTACTTATGAGGTCTGGCTTTCATTTCCATCCCATGACCTCCTTTGTTCCTCTTGGAGCTTTCAGGGCTGGTGTGACTGCTGTAGAAGCCATTCTTTCAGCCCTCAAAAGTGGAAATAGCCTTAGCATTGGGGAAAGCAGAGTCAAGGTGGGAAGTTCCAGGAGGCTGAGCTCCCAGCCCCCCATTTAAAGGGGCTGCCAGCAAAGCACTGAGGAATATTAAAATGTGTGGCCTTGGGCAGGTCAAGTCCCTTCTGTGGCCCATTCTTCTCCCGTGGCAAATAGGAGGGAAGTGATTGAAAATAATGAAGCAGGAGAACAGTAAATCACAGGAAAAGATGTTAAAAATAGATTAGGTGAGGTGGGGGAACAGGTTGAAAAAGGTGTTTACTAGAACCCTGGTGTTATACACGTATATGCCAAAAGATGGCAGGATGATGTGATTTTTTAAGGATTAATTTCTTATTTTGCTACTCTGAATTTTCTCTGTTTTCCTTAACAGCATGTATCTTTTGTGGGCTTTTTTTTTTTAAAGATTTTTTTTTAATTGGGGAATTGGGGGGATGGGAACAGAGCTGGGGAATTGGGGAGGGGGAACAGACAAGTTGCTGTCGTTTTTTGTTCTTCAGTCTAGTTGTGGAGGACGTTGCTTCACTGGCCCAAGTTGGCACCATCATTGCGCTCTTCCCGGGCGAGGCAGATCAGTCGCCGGCTTCTGGACGGCCGCTCACTGCGGCTGCTGGCCGCTCACGCTGGCTGCTGGCTACACACGGTAGCCCATGGCAACCCACTGCCACAGGGGCTGCAGCCTATGCCGTCCCCAGCGACTCATGGCAACCCAGCTCCAGGTTGAGCTGTTGTTCAGCAGCTTAGCTGTGGAGGGCAGTGTCACTGGCCCTCACATGTGGGATCCGAACCGGGGCCCTCTGGCGTCCCAAGCCAGTTCTTAACCATCGCGCCACTCGGCCGGCCCTCTTTTGTGGTTTTAAAAAATGCATTAAATATTTAGTAAGGGGGTGGTGGTGTAAGATGAAGTGGTCTCAATTCCAGTCTTTATTCTATGTTCAAATATCTATTGAACAACCCGTGTGCTGCAGCAGCCTTGGGAAAGCTTAGCATGGTCAGCTGGCCCACCTGCACACATACTGAGAAGAACTCAGGAATGGGGAACCTTAACTGTTGTTCCAGGCTCTCTATGTCTGAAAACGTGACTTTAAGAAATCTCCAACCGCATGTGAAGAGTTTACTTGTGGACTGAGTTCAAAATTAACCAGGGGGTGTTGATAGCCAACAAAGGAAACCAAATCAGCTTGTCAGAATCAGGGAAACGGCCATGAACTGGCTGTTTGACTCGCCTTGTCATTCTGCAGTCTGTTGGAGCCATGTAGACCCCAACTGCATCACCCCACCTGGTATCCATTAGAGTCCATATTTCCAAAACTCATTTAACTACCACGTTCCCAATTTTTGTCATTGCTGCAAAGCAACTCTACTATGGCTTTTCTCCATATTTGCCTTTAAATTCATTCATTTCTTACTGAAATAAGTTAATTTTAAAGGTAACATCACAATACTAAGGGAAGAAAACAGCATCATTTGCCACAAATCAAAAATAACTGTAAAAATAATCCCAGTGAAAACTGAGCAATGTAAATTTGGCCTTAATTCTCCTGCCTCTAGAATGCTTGGTGATTGCAGCCTGCTTTCTCTTGGTCAAAATGGGGGCTTAGGGAGTATTAAAGATAAGCCAGCACCTTTCTCTGTAACCAAATCTGGAAAAGTAAAAAAATAATTGCAAAGAAAACAGTATTCTCAGAATGCAAGAAATTGCTATGGGGTGTGGTGTCCATGTATCATATAAAAACCTTCTCTTTCACTGCTAGAGTTACCTGCCCACACAGGGAGATACTGTCCTGGTGCCCACAGGGTCACAGCTGAAGCTGATCTTATTTCTCAACCTGAGGCACCGTTCTAAGGGTTACAAGCTAAAAACAGGTCTGGAGTTGGAGCACTACATGAAAGGGCTGCTCAGTCAATTCCAGATGTCGAACATGGACCTTAGTTTGATCTCAGAAATTAACAGGGTGAATTAACATGACTGTCTTCCCTCCCTTTCTGCAGGATTGTGCTGAGGGGACAAAAGATCACCAGCTCTGTTGTTCCCAAATCAAACAGCATCTTTGACTTCCAGAAAGCTTATGGGTTAACTGAAGAGCAGGTATGGCCGCCATCTTGTCTTTTTATGCCACTGTCCTGGAAAGATGGGTTGGCGTCACTCTTTGAGGCTACCACTGTAGACACAACACTGGGACACTGGACCTTGAGTCTCAAAGCCTGTGGTTCTGTGACTGGAAGACCTGCCTAAATTTCTGATTGAGCTGGTCCAGGGATGATGCTCACCAGTGTGTGTTCCGTTGGGTGACTTTGGGCATTTTACCTTCTGAACTGGAGCCTGAATTTGCTGATCACTAAAATGAGGGTGTCTCCTAATTCTCAAATGTATCTCCCCTTTCTCTTTACAGGCCTTGGATGTCAGTGACCACTTTCCAGTTGAATTTAAACTACAATCTTCAAAAGCCTTCACCAATAGCAAAAAATCTATCTCTTCAAAGAAGAAAAACAAGGCCCGTCGCTCCTAGATACAAGAGTGCCATTTTATTAACCATTGCTTGCCTCCTAAAAGAGCTCTAATAGGTATGAACTGCTTCCTGCACTCCAAAAACAAGATTGATTCAACCGCTTTCATTTTTCAACTTGAATTTAATCCTATTTGAGCCAAATTGTGAGGAGAGTCTTCTATTACCCCACTTGGGCTTGTGCCTCCCCTGAATTGCTCAAAAGAAAGCTAGGGGCTTTTGCAGTCCAAAGGATGGTCTTCGTGTCCTGAGCTAGAGCCCCATCCACTGTCACGGACACTGCCCAACCCTGCTGTGGAGAGGCGGCAGAAGGAGGACGGTCAGTTTTCAGTCTTCACAAGAGGATCCTGTTCAATGGGAATGACCAGAAACGCCAAGGCCCCAACTAAACCCCATGATTTGGACAATTGACTGTTTTGGGAATCCGGCCCCTCCTCTCTGAGGTCAGGCCACCAGCACGTCTCATAGAGATGAAGTCTTCTCCTACCTGATCTTCCTGCCTCTGAATTGTCCTCTAACTCAGACACCACCAGTATCATCCTTTGACATTTCATTCGGACCACAGAACAGCTGCATTCCTACCCCCTGCTTATAAATCCTTTAGGGGCTCCTATCACCATTCAGAGAGCGCCCAGAGATTCTGGACATCCATGAAGGTCTCTCTATCAGGCATATCATGTCAGCTTGACCTTCCTCTCACCTTGTACATTATGCCCAGCAGGACCACCCCTTCCCTGTGTCCACATGCCCTGTCCCATTCCCGAGCCTGGGCTAAGTGTCCTGAACCATGTATGCCATACCCCTATTGTAACATTCACCACATTGCATTTGTCATCAAGGCCACTATTAGGACTCTTAGAGGGACCTGGTGGATCAAAGGTCCAGTTGATTGGCAAGGACTCAAGGATTTTGTTATATTTCTGCAACAGAGTTGCAGATGAGTCCAGCAACATGGCACCATTTTACCTGTATTCTATGTGGTGACCATTTTGTTTGTTTTCTCTTACATTGTTTCTTTGTTCAAGCAGTACATGAACATGGCTAACTATGTGAGCAATACCAAAGAATACGCACTGACAAGGAATGCCGCACCCCAACAACCAGCCTCTACTTTTTTGTCTCAGAAGCAACCCCTCTTAACTAGCTTATGTGTTCTTCCAGAGAGTCTATGCATAAATAAGCACCATACATAACCTTGAAAAATACAGTGTATATTAAATTACATGCACGGTCCCACGCTTTGCTTATTTCCTTTAATATATTATGGATAATGTGACTTTTTATATAAGAAAATTGACCATAAGCTTGATTTTTGAAATTCTGAAACATCTGACTGAGGGAAAAAAATCAAAAGGCCCTGCTTAAATGGGGGAAACCATTTCCCCCAAACATCCAATTAACCTCAGAGGTCCTGTTGGAATTGGCGGGGGGGGGGGCAAGGCTGCAAAGCTTCTGTCACCCCCTCTTCTGAGTAGGGTTCAGTATCCCAGGGAAACTTCCAGTTTCCAAGGTCCAAACAGTCAAGCAGGCAATGCACAAATAAGCTTCTTCTGGAGAAGAGATATCCTGCCCCAAGGTCAGCAATGTGGCTGGGACGAGTCCTGTGCTGGGCGGGAGAGGTCAGGGAAGTGGACCAGATACAAAATGAGCCTGTGTATGGCTCTGACCTGGTCCTGCCACCCTGCAGCCTCCTCGGTGACAAGACATCCCTCTGTTCCTGCACAGAGCAGGTTACTGGACCCATGGGCATCTGCCAGCTCTCATTCTGGGCAAACTCTGCTGGCCAAGAGGAGACAGAGTAGGACTTCTCATTGGCCACAACCTAATAGAGCTGCAAACATCCTCCCCTCCCTCTGGGTCACCTGGCCTGGATGGAGCTCCCATGGCTTTGGGAGGAGTGTTCCTTGGTCGTATGTACTGTTTCAGCTTTGACTTTCTTTGTACAGAGGGTTTGAAACCTGTGTTCACCAGAATCCCAGGGGACCTGTTACCATACTGATCCCCAGGCCCCAGTCCCCCAGAGTGTCTCAGGAGGTCTACATCCTCAGGAACATAGCCCAGGGGCCTGCATCTGGTTCCTAGGTGACTGAGGACCAGAGTTTTCTTTCTTTCATTATTTATCGAGAACCAGATGTTGAACTTACTTTCCTAGCCCTCCTCAGTGAGAAGAGGTGTAGCATGGTGTAGGGGACAGGCTCACTTTGGAGCCATTCTCTGCACCACCTACTACCTGTGGGACATTATTGTTAATAAGCAGGTCACTTATCTTCAGTTTCCTTATGTGTAAAATGGGGATAATCAGAGACTCAACCTCATAGCTGAAGTTTAAATAAGATAATGCATGTAAAACGCTGACTATATGCCTGGCACCTAGTAAGCCCTCCACAAATGGAGGCTGTATTTTTATTAACAGGACTTGCTCTGTCAAAGGGGAGGCCACTTTGAGCGTTTGGGTATATTGGCTCTCATTTAATTATTTAGAATGAATTTTTGCCATCCATTTCTTTATCATTCACCATTTGGCAAGTGAGCCTTAAGGAATAGAGACGCCACTATTTCCAGTCCTTGTTATTTTTTCTTCCTCATCAACACCCTTTTCCTGCCTCAAACACAGAAATATTACCATAGTACCCTTCATCTTGTTCCTGTAAAATGGGGAGTGAACAGAGCATTTCTAACTCAGCCACCCTAGCTGCCGTCTCTCCCATGGGGTGGAGAAGTTTAAAGAGCAGTTGCCAAAACAGGAAAGGAAAGAGTGACAAACCCTCTACCCTCCTGGGAGGAGGAAAGGCACCTGGCCCAGGTCAGTGTGTGGGAGAACGGAGCCACTCAGGGGGTTTCATGCCTGCGTCATCTGCTATGTCTCCCCATTAGAACTTCCACCAAAATGATCCTGAAGGCAGAAGACACAATGAACCAGCATTCCCACATCACTTACCCACAGGTTACCTTTTGAAGGAAGAGTGGCTAATCCTGTGCCCCAGGACCCTGGCCCCAGTAACTTCGAGCTTTAGGATTCAAGGAAGCTATTGAAATTAAGTAAAACTATGGAAATTTCAAGGAAACAAGAATGAGTGCATGCATGCACTACACACACGTACACACACACACACACACATGCGCGCACACGTGCTCAGTTCTTCAGAGAAAATGGGCTGGGAATCAGTGAGTGCTCTGAATGGAATACTAGTTGAATGATTGCTTGGTTCCCCAAGTCTCCATGTAGGTGAGACAAAGCTGCAGACAGACGCCAGGCTTCACAGGGCCAAGGGCAAAGGGGGCTGCCCTAGTCCATGTCACAGACTCTTGCTCCATGATAGCAGCCTCCTCACTAGTCCTACCACTTCCACCCTTGCCCCCTGCAATCTGTTCTCATTCCAACAACCAGGGTGCGCTTCCTAAAATGCAAATCTCACCCTATCTCTCCCGTGCCTAAAACCCTTGATGGCTCTTCATTTCTCTCTGGATAAAGACCCAAGTCCTCACCATAACCTACAATGCCCTGTATTTCTTGGCTTTCATTTGCCTTTCTAACTTCATTTTCAACCATGTGTACACTGTATCCACACCATTTAGGTCCTCTATTCTTCATGCTCTCCCCAGCCGCTAGGCCTTTTCATGTGCTGTTCCCCCCACCGGGATCGCTCTCCTCCTTTCACTCAGCAGACTTCTTCTCGTTCCTCACACCTCAGCTTAAACCTTGCTCAGTCAAGGAGGCCTTCACTGACCAGCTCCCCGCAATCTCTTTTGGGACCCTCAGTTACATTCTCGCAGGGTACTCTGCATGGCTCCTTCCTAATCCTCATCACATGTGTAATTACTTGTCCAAGGTCTGTTCCCCATCCCCACCTACAACCCCTATGTGGGCAGAGCTGTGTCCTGTTAGTCACTGCTCAATAAATTTTTGTGGAATTAATTAAACTCAGGGGGCATTACTATGTCATCTTGGAGTAAAAGGCAATAGCCTTTACAGAGTTATCCTTAAAAAAGAAAAGAGGCCGGCCGAGTGGCGTGATGGTTAAGAACTGGCTTGGGACGCCAGAGGGCCCCAGTTCGGATCCCACATATGAGGGCCAGTGACACTGCCCTCTGCAGCTAAGATGCTGAACAACAGCTCGACCTGGAGCTGGGCGCCGTGCATCGCCTGCGATGGCGTAGGCTGCAGCCCCTGTGGCAGTGGGTTGCCATGGGCTACCGTGTGTAGCCAGCAGCCAGCGTGAGCAGCCAGCAGCCACAGTGAGCGGCAGTTTAGAAGCCAGCAACTGATCTGCCTCGCCCAGGAAGAGCGCAATGATGGTGTCAACTTGGGCCAGTGAAGCAACGTCCTCCACAACTAGACTGAAGAGCAAAAAACGACAGCAACTTGTCTGTTCCCCTTCCCCCAATTCCCCAGCGCTGTTCCCATTCCCCCAATTCCCCAATTTATTTATTTATTTTTTTTAAAGATTTTTATTGGGGATTTGGGGGGATGGGAACAGTGCTGGGGAATTGGGGGAAGAGGAACAGACAAGTTGCTGTTGGTTTTTTGTTCTTCAGTCTAGTTGTGGAGGACGTTGCTTCACTGGCCCAAGTTGGCACCATCATTGCGCTCTTCCCGGGTGAGGCACATCAGTCACCAGCTTCTGGACGGCCGCTCACTGCGGCTGCTGGCCGCTCACGCTGGCTGCTGGCTACACACGGTAGCCCATGGCAACCCACTGCCACAGGGGCTGCAGCCTACGCCGTCGCCAGCGACTCGCGGCAAACCAGCTCCAGGTCGAGCTGTTGTTCAGCATCTTAGCTGCAGAGGGCAGTGTCACTGGCCCTCATATGTGGGATCCGAACTGGGGCCTCTGGCATCCCAAGCCAGTTCTTAACCATCGCGCCACTCGGCCGGCCCCCAATTCCCCAATTTAAAAAAAAAGAAAAGAAAAGAAAATACTTGAGCAAAAGGCAGTAGACATTGTTGTAATTTTTCTTTTAGAAACCCTTTCAGATGGAAACACCTAATTTACAAAGTTAGGGAGTGATTTTTGCTGACACAAATTGAGGATTAAAAAATTAACAGTGCCCTCTAGTGTATCAAAGTTTCTCAAAGAACATTTGAAGGACATAAAATGGGATGACAACAGGACACAGAACTAAAACCTTAAAATCTAGCTAAAGGTAAACCTCACTGTGGTTCCTTGAACTTGGCCTCCACCCTCCTGCCTCAGGCCTTTGCACATGTTTTTCCCTCTGCCTAAAGCACCCCTTCCCCTGGTGTCCCACTTCTCTGCAAGTACAATGTCTCTCTCTCCATAGGTCTAAGGCTTTCATGGCCTTCAAAACTCTATGCAAATCTCCCATCCCACCATATTCCCCAGGTAGCCCAGGTTCTCTGTGGCCAGAGCAAGCCCATGTTCCTACCGCATATGAGTTCTCTGATGGTAGGAGAAAGTATGTGCTAGTCATTTGCAAAAACTCCTACCAACCCTCTCCTTTTTTTTTCTGACCCTCTCTTTTTCAGAAAACTCTTTTACTTTCCCCATCAAATACCTTGGAAGCTTCGTTTAATTTCTCCATCCTTTTCCTTTTGAGATTCCTGCTTGTTTGAAATTATTTTAATAGTTTCATAGAGGTTAGAGCTGAAAATATCTTTAAAGATGATAATAATAATAATAACAAATAAATAATGATAATAATAATAACTGCCATTTGCCACGACTTGCTCTGTGACAAGCTGTGCTCTGTGCTAAGAAGGCATGCTATATGTTATCTCACTAAATTCCAACCACAGCACTAAAAAGGTGGGGGAAGGGGTCTGCTATCATCTCCATTTTATAGATGAGGAAACTGAGACCAAGAGAAGTTAAACAGCTTGCCCATGGTCACACAGCTTGTGAGTAGTGGAGCCCAAGGTGACTCCTCTGTGAGGTATAGTAGGCATAGGGCCTAGGGCCCACGATACTTTCAGGGACCATGGAAATCTTATAATTTCCTTCAGAATAAAAAGGAAAAAAATGAAATTTTAGAAGAAAAATTTCAATGTATATTATTAATATATTCTTCTTTATACCAACATAGGAGCAAAATATAATTTTTTGGATTATTTTAAATGTAACAAGAGACTCGTGAAAGCCAAAATGCCCAAGGCCCATGAAAATCATAATGTGGCCCTGGTGGAGTCAGAAGTCAAATCAGGTCAGCTGCCTCCAAAGTTCATGCTTTCACTAGTCTAGTCTAATCCCATTTTACAACTGAGGAAATTGAG